GGTTTATTTCCACACCTGGAAAAAAAACAAAAACAAAACCAAACAGCCAATCCACTCGACAGCTTCCTGTCATGTGAACCGTTTACTGAAACTCTAACCTCAACCCTGATAAAATCTAGACGCTCCGTCGGCCGAGGGTCTCCTGACACCGAGCTTTTATTAAAAGAGTGTGGAGTGAACGAATAAATCCTTCGACCACAGGAGACACAGAGGAGGTGGGGGAGGAGGAGGGTGAGGAGGAGAAGGGGGAGGAGGAGGAGTTTTTATTGAATTCATACGAATATAAAAAAAAACACATTTTAATGCCTGGACAGAACGATTAATCACGATTAATCAATAAATATCAATATTAATCATGATTAATTGATAAATATGATTAATCAAAAATACGATTAGTCATGATTAATCAATAAATATCATGATTAACTGATACATGTCATGATTAATCATGATTAATTGTTAAATACTATGGTTCACTAAAGTAAAAAAACAAAAAACAAATTCTGTATTTTCTAATGTGAAAAACATTCATTTTTACAGATATGGTACTACTTCCTGTCCACTTCCTGTCCACTTCCTGTCCACTTCTGGGCCTTCATCCTCAGACCTGGACTACGTCCCCTCAGAGTCAGTGATTTTACACAGACACAGTATTTTCACCTCATGAGTGTTGAGAGACTTTGATCTCCTCTGACCGTGTGTGAACCAGTCGGCCTCAGTGCAGGGAGTCGAACCGGCAGCTTCTCCCTCTGATCTACACTGCATCTCTGTCCATTCACCTCAACGTTTAGAAACTGAGACCAGAGGACCACAGGTCCCAGGATGGGGGTGTGTTGGTGGGGGAGGCCGAGGCAGATGATACGACCCCTGGAGGGAAGAGTCCAACGAAGGAGACAACGGAATATTCTTAAAGCTGGTCACATGTTTTTTCGGGTGCCATGTCAGGTTCCTGCCACCGGAGACAGCAGAGTGTCTGAAGCTCTCCTCCTCCTCCTCCTCTTCCTCCTCTTCCTCTGCATCTATAAATACTGCTTTTGAATGCGGCACATCACCAGTGGCGGCAGCAGCAGAGCTGGAAATGGTTTATTATTGCTGTAACTGGAGCTGCTCTGAGAATAGAGACACACGAGCTCTTACATTTACACCGCTTATTTTCACATCACATAATCCGACACTGAACACACACTCTCTCCGAGCTTCTACGTTCACATTAATATTTCAGTGGAACCGAGACTTTTATTTCCAAATGTGCGACGTCGACTACAGAGTACAACTGCAGGTTTGTCTTTAATGACGACACCAGACTTGATGCTGATTTTTGAATGGCTTTGATGTCGGAGTCGTTGACTTTGATGTTGGAGACGTTGACTTTGATGTCGGAGACGTTGACTTTGAAGTCTGAGACATTGACTTTCATGCCTAAGACATTGACTTTGATGTTGGAGACGTTGACTTTGATGTCGGAGACGTTGACTTTGAAGTCTGAGACATTGACTTTCATGCCTAAGACATTGACTTTGATGTTGGAGACGTTGACTTTGATGTCGGAGACGTTGCCTTTGTTGTCTGTTTCTGGGTCAGTTAACGTCCGACCGTGTGCTTACAGGATATTGTTTTAGCGCAGCTGAATTTTCAGACATTTTTTACAGGTTTAAAATGAACTTGTTTTCTCCAAAACAACAAAGTATCCTTTGGTTTCCACCCATTCAATTTCCTCACCCTCCCTCTCTGATGTCTGGCACTTGAGCCCCAGCCTCACTCCCCTCCCTCCACTGCCCCCTAGGAGACAGCTGAAGATGCAGCGTAAAGACTTTGTAGTCAACATGGACAGATGTATGTACGGTACTATCAGGGGAGCACCCCCCATCCCCCCCGCCGTCCCCCCTGGCCTCCCCCACCCCCCCCTCTTCTTCCATATGAACGGATGCCAAAGCTTACGATACTCAATTATTCACACTCCTTAAAACTGCATCAATAAAAGATCAGAGTCGGCCTGAGGAGCAGAGGTGAACGACGAGGAGGTGAAACAGACGGACACTTGAAGACCGATCAGGAGACGCGTAAACAAAGACAACGCACGCACGCGTACGCTACACCTGGGAGATACATGTACACGACTGCAGTACGTTAGCGTACAGTACACACGTACACAAACACAGCTCGTTCTTCTGTTTCCCGTATCGCAAAAAATTTTTAAAAACGACGCTAAAATGATGAGCATCAAAGCAACAGCTAACAGTAGGAAACAGTGACGACGTGTAAACGAGAAGAACCGGACCAAACAGATGTTGTTTCACCTGGAGTTGAACTAAAAAGTTTAATAAAAATTGTTAAAAAAAAATCTCCGATGCTAACGGACAAAACCTACAAACGTACAGAGATTAAACCATAGATCGTACGTAAGAAATACGTAAAGTCACATGGTTGAGACCGTGGGGAAAAAAAACGTAATTCTTCTTGGCGAGGGGGGGGGGTGACTCTGGACAGTGATTTATGTTTTTGGACGGTAAGGCAAGAGCACTAACCACTCTTCCACCATGTGGCTCAAGACACAGTTCAGTGTTGGTTGGATGTGGGGGGGGGGGGGGGGGGTGAGTACTGGTAAAAACCTGGCGATACGTATTACAATACAGGGTCAATGATACGATATATTGCGATACTATAGTTTAGATACGAAATATCGTTAGCGTGATGATATTTTCCTACACCCCCAGTTGGACGTAGAATTTAATTACTAGAAATAAAACGTACAAGAATGAACCTGAAGCTAAAACAAGGATAATTTGATCAGTGGATACCAGACCTCGTACCAGAGGTTGGCGGGCTGTATGTGGCCCACGAACCATAGGTTGCCAGTGCCTTGCATCACTGATACAGAGTGCGTTTGACTAGAACTGCTCTGTTTCAGCAGCATCGGCGTCAAAAGATAAATAAAAAATATTAGCAAAGTAACGACATCTGGTCCAAAGGAACTGGTCCCTGGTTGAAGGACGAGCCTTATCTTTAACCTCAGTCTGGTCCAGAACTGAACCGAGAATCCAAACACTGACGGAACAACTCACGACGGCGGAACTGAGGACGATGAAAAATATTCTTCGTCTCTCAAACTCAAACTCATAAGAGAAAATAAAATAATAATAAAAAAACTTTTTAAATTCTTGATTTAATTTCATTAACACCGTGAAATGAAACCCATCAAATAAACCGAAGGTGAAACATCGACCACACAGATGGTGTTTGTTGATAAATAAATTTAAAAAAATAAAACAAAAATAAAATTTTACCTGTGAAATTCCACCAAACTCAACAGGAACCTCATTTTTTTTTATGAACTTCTATCACGTGACTAACGCTACACCAACGCGAGGAGCCGCAGCAGCAACAAGTCGAATAAACAACACGGATTAAATACAAACATAAATGAAAATAAAATCACTTTTCTCACTGCACCTGCATCGCGTCGGGGTCGAGGGTTCGTCGCCGATCGACGGAGGAATCGTCGCCGCTCCTTCAACGATGCTCCGTGAGCAGCATTTGCTGCAGAGAGGAAGAGGAGGAAGAGGAGGAGGAGGAGAAGCTGCTCCGTCCGTGCGTGTGCGTGTGCGCGTGTGTAGGAGGTGTGCCCCCCCCCCCCCCCCCCCCCCTTCCTCGCCCCCCCTCCCTTCAGCCACATCGCCGCGTGATAATCACTTGAAACGAGCTGCAGGTGAGCAAAGCACGCGCACCTATAGCGAGGCGCGAGCGCACGCTCGTGTGTGTGTGTTTGTGTGCAGAGTCCAGAGGTTTGAGCGGCGATGACGTCATCAACAGGTGAAGCCGAGGAGACAGCGGAGGCTCCGGTGTTTGCGGTGATGGCGGCGGATGTTATTGGAAAGTTCCAGACGTTTCATTAAGAACCAAACAGAGACGGACTCCGAGGAAATCAACGTGATCTATGTGATCTAGATCTGTGCGTGTGTCCGCGGTCAGAGGCAGGCCGAGCGACCGCAAGAGTAACGATCAAATATGATCGATAACTGGAACGACCAAGGCAGTGGTTCTCACATGCAGGTATGTGTAGCCCCGAGAGTACAATAAGGCACTCTAGGGGGCGCAAATGTGGGATTTTGTTTCTTCAAATAAGTATATATAAAAGAAAAACAAACAACAAAATTATTTTTCACAAGTTTTTTTTTAGATACTTCAAAATATACATATTTTTTTCAAATTCCCTAAATCTGACATACGTAGGTCGAGCGTCAACTCACCGATCACTTCACTTAGCTGACGATATATATTTCTCAAATAAGAAAATCTGAAGTAGTAAAAAAAAATTAAATTAAAAAACACTACCACTCTGCCCTGCAGGGGGAGCTATTAACACAGTCCACTCTGCCCTGCAGGGGGAGCTATTACCACAGTTTTGTGTGTGTGTTTTTTTTTTAAACAATGTTTTGACAAAACCTAAAATCACAGATTGTTTTTATAAATAAATCGCAGATTTGATAACGTTACACCGACGCGTCGCGTCCACACTTTTCTCCGAGACGAAACACAGAGTCAGACACAGGGTTGGATTCATTTTCAAACTGGAGTCAAAATAGCATCAAAAAAAAAAAAATCCATTTAATTTGGGGACACTTTGTACCGCTCACAGATTCACACCAACTCCAACGGTAAATGAATACGGGAGCAGACAGGAAGCTGCCCCAAAAATACACCCAGACCCAGACTCTGCAGAAGGAAACACAGTCTGTGGCAGTGATGACCAGGTTTTTCTACTTCCATCCTCCCAGATTTATATAATCTCTACAATAATCTCGACAAAGTTACTACGAGCTGAGTCTCTGAAAAATGTCCAGTCGCTTCAAATTTTTATTATAAACCAAAGTCAAAAAGGTTTGACGGACGAGAGATTTAAAATTTGAATTTCGGACCAGCACCGGTCCCCGAACCGGGGGTTGGGCACCCCTGTCCTAGATAATGATGTCACCACTGTGTTAGTGCAGGTGAGTTCCAACTCCTGGCTCCCTGATTCAACTACATCAACATTATCAGTGATAACGTCTGTGTCGGCAAAGAGAGAAAGGGAGGGAGAGAGAGGAGGGGAGAGAGAGGGGGGGTTAACGGTGATCAGTTATCAATAACATGACACGTGATGGTCAGAACAGATTTCATAATGGTATCTAAAATGACATCATTTTTGAAAAACTCTTCCTCCAAAAGTTGCTCAAAAAAATGAAAAAAAAAAAAAAATCACCAGACCAGAGGAAACTCAATCCTCCTCCTCCTCCTCCTCCTTCTTCGTCCTTGTACAGAATCTTCCGTCTCCCTCCTTCCGACCAACACGTTATTTTTAGCGTCGCAACTTCCAAAGAGCCTCCATGTTTTTTTTCTTTCTTTGCTGTGCTACCCATCAGCCCACAGTGTGTGTGTGTGTGTGTGTGTGTGAAAGTAGGTTTTTTATTATTATTTCATTTTCTCTTCTGCCTCATAAATGTTGCATCTTCTACAGAAATTGCCAGAAACACTCACACGCATGGCTGAACAGGTTGGAGCTCGTAGTCACATCCGACAATCTCCCCCGGTCCCTCCCCCCAGACGGATGTGGGGGCCCACTTTTTCATCCCCACTTCAAATCCTGTGGGTCAGACGGACTCTGTGGTGTCAGTAGATGGCGCTGATTTGGGCAACCATCCCCAAAAAA